GATGCACCTGCCTTCATGAGAGATTTTTTCACTCAGCGGTTTGTTTTACCTCAAATAGCGAAATTATGAAATATATTTTAAAATACAAGCACACCATCTATATATTTAAAAATGAAATGCTTTTTGTTGGTAAACGTATCACTTAAGAAAGAACAACAGTGTTCTGTGGCTGAAAAATGTTGCCCAGAAAATTAGGATATTGGGGATAAAACCGAGCGCACTTTTATTTATGGGATTTTTCCGTTTTCTATTTTTGTATGAAGTCAAAGATAACAAACTGATATTTTTGTATAGGACACCATTTACACTACATACATTACACTGAGTCCAGGCTAAGGTACGGACACGTAATGCGTAGACCCGATGACCACATCGTGAAAAAGTGCCTTTCCATGGCTACAAAAAAAAAGTGAGAAGTACACAACAAACTACCTGGATGATAAATGTTCGGAAAGTCATGCAAAAGCTTGGCCTTACAGAGGATGATACTTACCAGCGAAGTGAACGGCGCCAAATGATTAAGAAAGCCGACCCCGCGTAACGGGAAGAGGTGAAGGAAAAGAAGAAGAAGAAGAGATAGAAGATATAGATATAGAAGATATAAGAGAGATTTGTCGGATATGTATAACAACGTAAATGTCACTTTTTTCGTTCTGAATGATCGAGTGTGGAGTGTAGGTTCTCAATGATGAAGTGCCGTCCAACTTCCTCACCTCTGAACTGGACCATCATAACTTTTCATTACCTTTAATGCTTTAAATATTATAAAATAAAAGTTAGGTACATTTCAAATATCAACATTTTTTTTTATAAACATTGATTTTCAAATGATCTTTTGGGCCCAGTAGGTAGTGTCATACCGTAAGATATATATTTCAAGACGAAAATACTACAAGTACTACTACTATACAATATACCTACATAGAAGTATTTTGCAGATTCAATGATCGAGTTAAATAAAATTATTAGCAGAAGGGCATGTGGATAGTTTAAATTAACATATATATATACATATAATAAAATTGTAACTAAGCCGAATCTGTACATTAAATATTTTTTGGAAAATCTTATTGAAATAAACATTATTATCGATACAGAGGCCGAAAGTATAGTTTTTAGAATTTTTGTCTGTCTGCCTGTCTGTCTGTTACAGCATCACAGAAAAACCACTGGAGGGCTTTCGAAGAAATTCAACATATAGGATACTTTTTACCGTGGGAAAATATCTCATTTCTGAGAAAAAATACAAAAAACTGCAATGGAAGAATACTAATATGTAAAACTAAGAATTTGGTTTTTGGTTATCTGAACGCGGGCGGAGCCGCGGGCAATGCTAGTACAGTAATAAAACACTTAAGCATAAAAATTATATATTTCTGTAACACAAGCATGTAAATTGTAATTAAAATAGCATCCTGTCTTGTATATAACTTGAAATCGTTACATATAAAAAGAACAAATGAATCCCCATAATGAACTCGTAAGAAAACCGACACACCAGTTTACAACGTCATGAAGTAGTAACTTTCAACGCATGCAGTATTTAATGAGAAGCATTTTGAGGGGTGCGCTCGAATGAAATTAGCCATACAAAGACTTGCGAGTTTCTCCGCGGGGCGCCCATTATATTGGAACTATAAACAGACGGAATAGTAGACTCTATATCGTAGATATAAGGACTTATTTAGAAGCTGAGTATCTTCATTATACAAATAAATACACTAGCAATTGTTGCGATAACACTGATGCTATCGGGTCAATTTCACCCTCTAGTAGTGGGGGATTAGAAAAATAAATAAATGACTGTTTGAGTTTGTATGAAAATGCTATTTTGTAACAGCGAGTTGACTTTGCAAACAGATTGCTTTGGATTTACCCAGGTGTAAAGTATCATAGATACATATACATACGTATTCTCATTTAATATTTGAACATATTTTGTGTGTATGTTGTTTTTAAAAGTCACTGCGCCAAAAGTCTTTTGAGCACACAATAACTAACCAGCGTTATATCGCAATCACATAACTGGTTTAGGAATAAATAAATAAATAAATAAAATAAATATGTCAGAAATGCATCTATCTATTCTATAAATAGAGTTGCACTTAAATCTATATTTGTTTAACAACATTAAGTAGATATAAAACATTACTTAAACATATAGCACAGTGTGAACAAGGTCAAACAAGTCAAAAATCAGAACATTCATACGCATTCTCACAACTATTAGTAGAGATATTATCATACAATGACGTTTATATTTATGTACTTAAAATGGTATTTCACTGATAACACGTTATGTACTCACCCAATCACACTCGCCAAGAATCAGTATTATGTAATTAAAGCAAAACTTGTCAGGTGTGGATGTTCCTGATTCAGCGTAGTGAAGTGTGGTAGTCTGGAACCAATAAGCATAAAGTTTAACGATGATTCCCACCTGCAATATTAACGATAGTGTTTAATTACTTTTTTACGCAGCTTTACGATATAGTTATCTAATGTTCTTGGCGTAATAGAGTAGTGTTGGTCTGTATGGCTATGGGACGTCGTTAAAACCAAATACTCATTTGAACCATAGACTCTTATACTATGTAGAACTGCTAGTTCACAGTTTATTGAGGTAATAAAATTTTTATTTCAATCAGTCAAATTATAGCTTAATTGTGTTATGATATTTCATTACTATAAAGACTAGATTTTTATATATTATATTATATTTTTAGATTATATACGATTAGTAATCTATACTAATATTATAAAGAGGTAAATTTCTTGAGTTTGTGACGTTGTAGGGGGTAATATCAGGATTTACTGAACCGATTTAGATGATATTTGGTAAGATAAATTTGGAAACCCTGGGAAGGATATAGGATATTTTTATCCCGGAAATCATCCCTTAAAGTGGTGAAAATGGGAATAAAAGTTTGTATGGGGAATCAACCTCTTTAAGAGCAAATGAACAGATAGTTGTAATCAATAATTTTAGATTTTCCTTGTATTTAAAAATATGAAAGATTAAGGATCCTCTTCTTTGATTGGTTATGAAAATATATGGCTTCGGAGATCTCTAGTTGCTAGGAGTCTCTACAAATGGTATAAGACATTGGTCCTGTTTCCTTTTACACAGTTTAGTATTTGACTTTTAGAGCAATAAATGTCAAAAATTAAAGCCATATAAAACCACGGCGACATTTGTGAATTGATTGCCGCCATAACATTTTTAATGGCAGTGTCTCTGCGCAGCTTTCCCACTGTTTCTTAATATTTATTTACACAGGAACTTTGTTATTTTATAGTTTTTCAAACGTAATAAATTTTTTGTTTGTTATATGTAAAATATGAAGACTTTTTAGTACTTTTCTATTGATAACTTTTTTTTCGTGTTTTGTAGGTCGGTTGGAATCCTTCTTTACCTATGTTTCTGATTGTCCATCTGTGACAACTTTTTTCGAATATTGATTTTTTTTATTTAGCAGTTAGCAGGTTTGAAAACAGTATGTATAATGTATCAAAATTTTCATTATTTTAGGAAGCCTTACCGTATTCCTGAAAATTTAATATTCATACAAATTTTTAGCCTATTCTTTATATAGACTGGATCAACAACAATGTCTTATCGATAATATTTAAAAATTGTAATAGCTCTTACATAAGGTCGAAGCCAAATTATTATTCTAATTTATAGCCACGATAGAGTCATTGATACATGGCCATAAAAACGTACCAACACTATACTATTTGATAGAAGCCCATCAAGATAAACATTCTCTTGTTTTATAGGTTATAAAATATTTTCAACATACGACCGGAGCCTTAATTGTGACCCACCGCGCGTTAATTCGTGCTTTACGACGTTTAAGTTAGTTTGTCGCCGGAATATTTATATGCTGTCTCATTGAAACTTTTTGCTAGATTGACCAATATGACGACGGATGGCGTTTACTATATGTTATAAGAGGTTATATGAGCTTTTGACCATGGATCTCCTCTTCTCACCAGAACTCCCTTCTGAGTTACGACTTTAAGCTTTCGACCATGGCTCGTCTGTTCTTCTCATCAGAACTGTCTTTAGAATGGCGGGCGTCGGTTTCCTCATGGTATACAGTTATTAGGTATATGTAAATGTAAAAAAATATGGTTCAGATATGTTTCTAAAAAATTGTTTAAATAAAAAACAAAATATATTTTGGTTATTAAGTAGTTAAGAGCCAAATTTTGAATGACTGATTAACTGCGATCAACAAATTTAGGTGAGTAACATATGTTTTGTTTTCTTTTATCATCAAATTTATTTATAGCTTTCATATTAAACGTGAGAGGTTAATTGTCATCTTAAGATGACAAACGAACAATTAGTGAATCGTAGCGTCGTAATCATCGCACGCGCCGGCCAGCTGCGCCTACTTCCTCTGATCTTTGACTTCTACAATTGTACCCATCTGCCGTCTTGGATCGTCACCCATCTACCCAATTATTTCTGATCTCCCCTTTACTAACCACACCAACGAGAACACACAGAAGCAACAGACCAATATATAGTGGCCGAGATTCATTGACAACTTTATCCGTGCACTCACTGTGACTGTTTCAATACTACATGAGTTCGATTGTATTAGAGGTAGCAGCAAATGTAACTTTGTAAGGAAATATATTACTCAATCCCATGTTGGCACGAGATTATGAATTGAAGTGGTTCGCGATCAACTAGGCGCTTCCGCTCGGTCAGCTGTTTACATCCTTCTGCAATGATGTTTGTCAGGACAGGTCAAAAATAGAATTATTATTGTGACATGCTAGTGCATGTCTTGAATAATTTTATTACTAAGGTGTCTTGAATAATTTTATTAGTCTGTATCTACAATATGAACTGTAAATATGTCAAAAATAGAAAAGTGTCAAAAAATGTAAGAACAAATTTCCATATTAAAGACCTGATAATAATTCATAAGCAAACTAAATTGAATAGAAATGTCAATAATAGAACTAATTTGAACAGGATGTGTACAAATAAGAATAAAGACGCTTGTTACACTAGCTGTTTACAGAAACCACTTTTACTAAGCTTAGTAGATGAAAAGCGAATGGCTGTTCTGAGCACCAAAGCAAGATTGATGATGCAATTAGTAAGTGATCCAGAAAATTTTAAAAATCACACTCAAACTAACCAAAATGTTAGTCCTAATTATAAGAAAAAATCTCACAGCAGTCCTATTCCAACTCCCGCCGTAGCCACTTATCCTTCCTTAGTTGAAAATATACGCTGGAATCCATATATAGATACTTGTTCCGAAGACTCCCAATTTGACAACCGAGCAGAAGACGTTAGTTATATATGTGACCTATGTAAGAATGAATATTGTCATGCACAAGATTATTTAGCTGATAATAAAAAATCTTTTGCTTTTAAGGACAATATTATGAGATTTTCCGATAATAGCACTATGACGTGGATGTTAAATGACATAGGTTGCGGTGTACGCACTCCTATAGCTCCCACGCCTAATACTTCCAAAGTATCTATATCAACATCAAACATTGCTGTGAGAGATCAGTCCATGACCTCAGTATCCCAAACCACGCCACCTGCACCTATCTTAAAAAATGGAAAAAAGTATCGAGGACAAGTAAGTTTTGATTCTCAGTGCGCAATGTATAACGATTATGAGAGATTGCTGAAATCAGTTAAAAAAGAGACAGTAAACCCAAAAAACGTTGAAAATTTTGCTAATTATGGATATTATAGAAAAAAATTATACAACGAAGGCACACCATATTCAATAGCACGTGAGCTAATACGATTTCCACTTACTTCAATACAAATTAGATCTCTAACTAAATTAAATAAGCCACGACATCGCATAACTCCTAAAGGGATTCGCGATAAGAAGACTGTCATCCCTTACGCTCATACTGTTCACTCTAAGTACCACAACACTTGTAATAACTGCTTTCCTAATTCAAACCATTCTTTCGATTTAAATGATATAGCTAGTAAAGATGTAAAAAACAAGGCGATTCTATGTGAGAGAACACCCTCAATAAGACTGCCGAAGCGAGTGCTGACTTCGGAGAGATATATCGATGCTTTCATGGATAAACGAACGTCAAAAACGTCCATGATTTCGGCCTTCAAAAAATTATATACACATAAAGAAAATTGTAGGGGATCCTAATTTATTTTATTTATTTTTAATTTATTTTATTTGGGAAACAACCAGTTCAATATGGTACGATTAAAAACAAAATATAATAAATGACACATAATGGTCTATATTAAAAAAAAACTTGTTATCAAATAAACCAATTTGAATTTTGGTTTTTGTTTATTATTTTTCTTAGTAGTTTGAAGAAATAGAATAATTTTAACTTGTATTAAGAATATTGTATCTTTAGTATTAATGTATGAATCAGTTGCATATGTAAGAAGCAGTGAGGGGTCAACAGCTGCGGAGAAAGCATCCTTGATTGGATAATCTCGACCCAATTGATGCACGGCCGCCGAAGAAGCTAACAACATTTTAGGGACGTATAGTCCTTAATATATGCATATACTTTAATATACAGTTATTAGAAATTAATGTAAACTATTTTTTCTATTTAATTATTGCGGTTTAAATTCCATTTATTCTCCATTTTTAAAGCATGACTATATCAAATTGTGTGGAGAAGAATTACATTTTCTTCCCAAGATAATAAAGTTCTATTTCCTATTTGATAGTCTATTGATTCAATAAAAAATCGTTTAGTATAATATTTTTATTCGTTTAGTAATATTACGTATTAATGACCCACGTAACTTCGTACATAATTAAAAAAGTTTTAACGAACTGCTATTTAGTTAGAGATATTCAATAAACATACAGTTAAAATGTAATAAAAAAGATCTATTACGATCGGACTACGAAGACAAGTTTAACTTATTATACATAAATGTTCATCAAAGAAAACTAATAGTTACGGAAATATTTCAGAAGTATGTAGGTCAGGTAAGCCAAGTAAAATTCGATGCAACGGCACACAGGTTTATTATTTTACAAAGTCAAAAGTAACGCTTCAAATAACATTTCCACTCAAGATGACAACTTAAGAAAACTTAAATAAATATTTTATGTCAGAACTAGCGACTTGTCATCGCTGAGTTTGGGTGTGTCCCTAGGTACGTTTTAATATTTTTGTGTAGAACCCTAATTCATTTCTAAAAGAAAGGGCCTAAGTTACGCCTTATATCATTAGCTATCTGTCAGTGAAAGTCCCGTCAAAATCAGTCTAGCTGTTTCGAAGATTAGCCGAAACAAACAGACGGAAAGGTGGACAAAAATTTTAAAACTTGTGTTTTTCGTATCTTAAATAATTTCATATGCCTGTAGTAAAAAGCTATTATTTTGTCATTACAAACAGACACTTCAATTTTATTTATCTGTATAGATGATAACTCATAGAGTTTTACAATTATACATATAAATTCTATTTTTATATAATTAATAATTTATATTATTATTAAAGTGTAAAAATATGTTTGCCAAGAGTGTAGAGCCGCTGGTGCGCAGGCGCAGGGCCGGCACGCGTCGCCCGCGCAGCGATCTGCAACTCTGTTAAGTTTGTTATTTATCTCCCTCAATGTTTTTTACTGTTTGTTGAACTGACCTGGGTTCAACTCCACTGCATTTGATTGTAAAAGTATTACGTTACTTGAAAATTGTTTCATAATTAAATACTTCATCTGTCATTTTAAAAAAATCTATCATCCCGGAATTTTTTCGTTAGTTTATTTTGATTTTGGGTTCTAGATATTTTAAATGCTTTACGCCTTTCATGATTACAGGAGAGACTAAGGTTTTAGATGTTTTAAAGGTTATCCGAAATCTAAGAAAGTATTTCTTCATCTGTGTAATCATAATAAGTATTAATTAATGAGATAATGTTTAATGTGGTTGCTCATATGTAATTGTGGCACTTACATATGAGCAACCACGTGGTCTGTGTGTGCCAGTGGGTCTAAAACGTTTAGACAATGTGTATGATAACAGTGAACGAGCGTTTGATTTAGTTATTCAAAGAATTTTGCGTGGTGCGTATATCTGTCTGATTAATATAAAACTTATTGTTTAAAACTCTCTTATTGTTAAAACGATATTGGCAAATAGGTGAGAAAACAAATTAGGACTCATTAAGTAGTCCAAAATTATAAGAAGGCTGTATATTATATTGGTTATATTTAAATCTAATCAGATTCAAAACAAAATTTCAAAACAAAAAATGTATAAAGTAAAACTTAATTTACATATTAGCCACTTAAAAGTTTAATAACATTAGGGCCGTTACAGACCCAACAATTATAGAAATATTAATATCAAGTAGTACAATGCCGTCAAACCAAATTAAATGAAGGTGTAAGTTGATGTAATAAAGATACGTCACAGCTATCACTCATCTAACCTATCAGTTTCCCCGATCGCATGCTTTTTTGTGCAGCCGTTACTATTAGCTATTTAGAATTTTATGGGGTGCCCCTAATTTTATGATAGAGAGAAATTATTTTTACGACTGTCACAACTGATCGTGATCATCGTTATACTTTTATAGCTTTTATATCTTTATTACTTAAAAATTTAAAGTGATTTTAAGACGTTATATTCTTATACTATTATTTTACAATTTTTAATTGTTTTTGAAGCCAGGAACTCCTTGTGATGGGGTAGGTACTTCCAAGTCGCAATCGCCAAGATCATGTAGCTACGTCGGGAAAGCTCTTTAAGTTATATATTAATTTTTTTCTTGTAGAATAAAACTTAATTTCATTTTAGAATCATAATTAAATTCGTTCTGTGATTAGCTAAGTTATTCATATCTTAATGAATAAGTATTTGAAGGTTTTTGACATAAATAATGCACTAAAATACATAATAATATAATGATAGTAATAAATAAGGAGTTTGTATTCGAATAATACGAAAGAGTATATATTCTAAATTATTTTATAAATCAATAATTGTCTAAGAAGTATATGTTTAATTCGCAAATTTAAATAAAAATAAAACTATACACACCCTACCTACTGATCTCCAGGCAAATATCGTCCGTGAAGCGCGAGCGGCCGCCATCGATCATCCACACCCACAAACAGACAAAGGCTATATCATGTTTATATTAATACTTGTGGGGCTCTGATCACTTAATTATACTTAAAATTAATAGAAATGTGGCCTTAGTTCTTAATCTATACACTGTTATTAATATATATTTTGATTAAGTTACTGTAATGTACTCGTAGTTTAGATAGCAAAATAAAAAAAAAAACACTTTAAAAATCTGTACATATAATAAAATTGTAACTGATCCCTGTGTGTACGAGTATATTTGGAAGAAATTTGAGAAAAACTATTATTTGTGGTCTTTATTAACGCAATAGAACCCAAAACAGTGATTTTTAGAATATTTGTCTGTTTGTTTGTGCGTTGTGCGCGATAATCTCAGAAACGGCTTAACCGATTTGGGTATGGTTTTCACTAAGTTATATTAATATTTTTATTGGGTGCAGATTCTATGGAATAAAAAATGGCACTCAGCCTAGGTAGTAATTAACTTATCTAGGACCAGTCCGATTTTAAGTTCAACTTGAGTCTTTGATCTTAAAGTTATTACGATAATGAGTGTTTCGTAATTTGCATAATTCTAATAACAGATTAAAATATTTCGTCAGCCGGGGAAGTATGAGATGTTAGTCTTGTGCTCCGGCAACTACACCAAATAGTGTCAATTAAATTATTCAGTAGTGCGGGTCGGTGTCGGGTCACCTATGGTAATTATAATTATAATTATGGCTATTTTACAATTAAGCTCACGCCCACGTTTCCGCCGCGTAAATTAACTTACCACGATAACGTTTTGTTTCTTCTAATTATTATATTTTATGTCATGTTTTATTGTAAAATATTATGTACGTTTGCCTATTGTTAAATAAAAACATTGAAAAATTCAAGGATGTACAAGCTAAATAAAATAAATAAATATATAACATAAAATTTAATAGATATTATTGGTTTTAGCATCATGCAAATATCTATATGAGCCCAACTAGCCATTTTGTATTACAAACACTATAAAAGTTTTATTTTATAATCTACTATAGTATATTTAAATTAATAACCTACACATATAATAAAATTCTGAGTCGAATCTGTACATTAAATATTTTTTGGAAAACCTTATTGAAATAGTTTATACTGTTGATACAGAGGCCGAATCTATAGTTTTTAGAATTCTTGCCTGCCTGTCTATCTGTCTGTCTGTCTTTCTATTAGTCTGTCTGTCTGTCTATCTGTCTGTCTGGGAACGCATCACGAGAAAAACACTGGACAGATTTTGATAAAATTTGGTATATTGATAGCTGGTTATTCGGGTCAACATTTAGGGTAGTTTTTAATGTGGAAAAATATCTAATTTCTGAGAAATCCATATTAAACTTTAAAACGTAACTAGGGACGAACTCGAGCGGAGCGAGGGTGAGTCGCTAGTGTATCATTATTATATAAAGTTAGACAATAAAGTATTTCTGACCGTTTCCGGTCACGGCAGCAATGGACAAGAGCAGACTCGGTTAAGCGCACAGGTCTTTGAGTTACAACTCGACAATATCGGTAAAAGCTTTAAAGGCGTATTACCGACGGCTTCACGTGCACCTCGAGAAATGATGGTGTTAAACCGCTGACTACCCATTTTCGAGTGGCTATCGAGAATTTCTTAACAGATAAATCCAATGACTCTATTTGGCCCGATGTTAAACTCCTGAGTTCGGCAGCGGTACATGTTAGCCACCACACCAAGTTAACCGACGCAGTTATCTTATACAGCATGTTGTATAATGTAAGAGACTTTACCACACATACAAATAAATCGCGACAATATTTACATATTCGATCTGTATCTACAGTTTTAGTTCTCGAGTTAGTTCAGTTACTGGCTCATTATACCGGGTGCTACTTCAATAATTCTGTTATTATATTTAGTCGGTAATCATCAAACGACGTCAAAACTGACGGATCAGCCTTTGAGCAGCCGCGACAGGGGCAGCAAACTATTTTATAATAAGTATAATAAGTACACTTGTAGCTCATGGTTTTCAGTAGGTACTTTTTAATGTCCAATATTTGATTGTAATAGTAACTGCACT